ACTCGTAGCGCGGGAGCTAAAGATAAGGGCTAATGTAATGCAGGCCAGCAGCCTTATGTGGCCAGTCTGCGCGTGTATGTGCGTCCTGGTGTGTTTCTAAATGTTTATAACGGGTGATGGGAACAGCACTGCTGCTGCCTTTCTCTCACAACACCTCTATATTCATTCCCCTCTGAAGGCAAACGGCATCCTCAGCCTCAAAGCTCGGCAACGTTATTAATCAGAAATTATGATCATACTTACCGAATGCACCTCGCATCGCCATAGCAATAGCAACAACCCCCCCACCACCACCTCACACATATACACACACACACGGGGGGGGGGCTAATGAAGAAGCCAAACTTACCGCAGTCTTCACACAGCACACTCTCCACGTCTTTTTTCACGCTCTTCTCCGCGGTCTCGAGCGGAGCGAAGGACGCTCTGAACACGAGCGGCTCCTCTGTGGGGTCCATGAAAAACACGTAGCTGCGGTTCTGCTCCAGCGCCGCAGCGCACGGCTGCGCGTCCGAGCCCAGGCCGCCGACGGTGACGAGCTGCTCGCGCTCCAGCCCGCCGCTCTTGCGCGGCCACACGTCCAGCACCCGCACGCGCACGCTGTACGGCTCAGGCCGCGCGCGCACCTCGCCCTCGATCACCACGGCCGAGCGGTGCGCCAGCTCGCGCGCCGAGTCCAGCGTCGGGGCGTAGCACGCGAAGGAGAGGCCGGCGAGCAGCGCGGAGAGGTGCACCGGCGCGAGCCTCCTCATGCCGTCTGATGGGGCCCGGGGGCGGCCGCTCGCGGTGGTGCTGCTGCAGTGCTCTCGAGGGGCGCGGAGCGGGAGGAGGAGGAAAGGGAGGAGGAGGGAGAGGAGGAGGACGACGGAGCTGGGCGACGGGGACGGGGACGGGAGGGCGGTGCGAGCGGGCTCGCGCAAGTGTCCATGCCGTCCGCGCGCGCCGCTTTCTTCCCCATGCGGTGCGTGCACGGGGGCGGAGGGGAGGGGGGAAGAGGGTGGTTGGAGGGGGTAAAGGGGGAAGGGGGGTACACACGCACACACACACACGCACACACACACACACCGAACACTTAGGAACCGGAAACGGGCCCGGTCAGCGGCGCTGCTGGGCTGCAAAACCCCGCTGCTGCATTCTCCTTCAGCGCTGAGGCCCCGCGCGCCCGTCCGCGAGTGCCTTCGCTAACGAAGATCGCTCACGGACTCGCGCGATTTACGCGATCCACTCCGCGTCCGAACATCGTCGTCGTCGTCATACCGTCACTGGAATTGAAAAAAAACAACAACACCATGGATTTCGGTAGAGGTGATTTCCGTTATCGTTAATGACGAAGAAACGGTCCTCCGTGATGCCGGATTCTCTTTGTATAGATCCAGAGCGCGACGCCACCACACTCAGAGCGCGCGCGCGCCGGGAGGAGCCGCTCCGGCTAGCCGATGCGATGCAACAAGCGCGCGTGCCCCTTCTGCTCGCTGCCCCATGCACCCCCACCCACCCCTACACCTCCACCACAACCCCCCTCCCTCACCACCCCCCCTCTCTCACGGACCCCGGGGCGCCTCGCTCGCGCGCTAACGCGTCGCCCTGCCCGGGTTTTACTTTTTGAGAGCGTGTTGCTCCCTCCGCGCCAAAAAAAGACCGAACCGAGCGCGAACCGAGCCCTTCGAGTCTTTCTGACGAGGAAGCTGGTCGGTCTCGCTCTCGAATAGAAAACGCTTGAGAACAACGCGGCGCTACGACATCGCGCTCTGTGCCTCGAGCCGAGAGGAACGTTATCAAATGAGCGCTGGGAAACGGGCCGCTGCAGAGCACAGCCGCGGGAAAACGGCGATGAGTAACGCTGCGGAAACGGACGGCTGCTTAAAACGGTTCCGCTGTTATTCGGCCAATTTCCGTTTTACCCCGAAAAGCGGGAAAACGAGGCGCGACAAGCAACGGAGCGAAAGCAAGCGTAGCCTTATATCAGCCATATTTACCCCGGCAACAGGTCCTGCGGGCATTAGGGGCGGGATGGGGAACAAACAGGGTGTTAATGAAGCGGAGGAACAGGGCACTGAAACTGCGTGGAGAGAGAGAGAGAGAGAGAGAGAGAGAGAGAGAGAGAGAGAGAGAGACGTTCGTGAGTTAGTCAGTTAGAAACTGTAAAGGGTGTTTTTGTGAACATTCTTAAAGGGAATAAACGGACAGAGGCTGCAGTGTCCGGCAGAATAAACGAGAATAAACGTGGGGTGAAACAGTGGCTAATGCTGCAGGACATTAACTAGTAAAGGGCGACATCTGCAGGCTGGGAGAAAAAGTACAGCCAGAAAGCTCACTGCTTCACTCAACACTGAAAAAAAAGACGACTTTTCAAGGATTGATGTTAATTCCTCTTACTACAATAAACGAGATTACAGAGGGGCATCGTGCTGCATATAAATAACATTATAATATCAACACATTGTAATGAGTAAAAGCATTGTGTTTTAACAGTATGTCAACCGAGCCACTTAAATTTGCTTTAATGTGTCTAAATTCAGTTAAAATGACCGAAGTTCACTCAGTATTGAACAGTTTTCTATTGTCCAGTGTACAGGACTATTTTAAAAGAGCAAATAGACTGATGTAGTGCGATTCTAGCTTTAGTGATTTTCGTTTATGTACACAAGAACATAGCCACATGGTTTACCTCAATAAATAAATAAATAGTCTGAATGGGCTCTGTTTGTTTGTTGCAAAATTAACTGATGCTTACTTGTATTCTTTCTAAACAAAGGGAAGCTGTAATTATGCTCATTACATTATAAAAGCATTTTGTGGGAAATACCTAAATGAATGGATCATTGAGGATCTATGACATATATTCCCTTATACACTGTCCTGTGTTACCGGATGTCCCACAATACCTGAGCGCCATACTGAGCTGGATTTGGCCTGTTTGCTTGGATAGTCCCATGTAATAACTTTGCAGCATTGTTCTGGTCTCTTGGAAAAAAACTGAGCCATCCGACCGGCTCTCTGTCTAACTATTCAATAATTCATCCATTCATTAGTTGGCTGCGAAACCCACGTGTTCGTCATTGGGGGCTCGAGATCCGGCGCTGTCCGTGGTGCTGAATCGCAAACTGCTGCTTATCTCCTCCCATCTCACGCCCTGGATGCTAATTTTGTCCTCTTCCTGTGTCAGCCGTCTCTCCTGCTACTACTCCCTTTCACACTTTCTTTCACATTAGAAAGTGCTCTCTGTGCCTCATGACTGTTTGTAAGAACAGCTGTGTAGACAGATGTGGTTCCACACAACCTATTTTAACCATGAAGCGACGCGGAGCAGCCCCCTGGTGTCAAACTGACAAGTTTTAAACTTGCAGGGGTTCAGTTAACACTTTCTTTGAGTGTGTTGTTAATCCTGAACAGATCATTTGATGATGATCACTTTATAGACCTACTATATTCTACACTTACTTACATACACTAGTTGTACAATGCGGGAATATTCAGACACACATCTCAGCTGGTCGTGCCAAACAACCTGTCAGATTTCTCTGACTAACGTCCTGTAAGCTACTGAAATTCACCTCAGTGCAACAGTTTCAATTATTATTTCATTACTGCATTTTAAACGTAATCTGTTAGGTTGCAAGTACAGTGATAACTAACATTAACACCTCAACTAACATTAACACAGTCACATGATGTATTTGCCCATCGTGTAAAACAGGTATATTAAAGGCAAATTCCACTGATTTTTCAAAATGTCTTCATAATTAGATTGTTGATCTGTAAACAAAGTCACTCAGAGTGGTTTGATGCAGATTGGTTCATTGTACAGGAACTTGCCAACTAAGATTTCTTTACAGTGGTGGTGACAGGAACCAGGTGTTGGGATGTCTGCAATACAAATATAGCCGTTTTATTTACTATCCAAAACCACCAGTGAGCCTACACGTGTCTTCAGAGTTTTATATGTTTATGTTTGTTATGTTATAATGATGAAGTTCCTCTTGAATGGAGCATTTCACATCGATACACTCTGAATTGCTTTGTTTACATTTTGAAAAACCAATGAATTTCCCCTTTAATAAGGTGGACTGAGGTATCATGGGCAATCAGGTTTTATAGAACTCTTGTTTATTTGAATACCAGCTAATACTGTCTTATTAATCACAATAAATAATGTATAACAGTCACACATATTCAATTACTAAAAATATCCACCATCTACAGCCTTAAAAACTGAATCCTGATAACTTAAGAGAATCATCTGAAATTTGAATGGTTCTTTGGATGGTTGAATGGCTCTTCTCTATGATGAAAAACCTGTTGTGCATGGTTCAGGACCTTTTAAATGGTTCTATATAACAAGGTTTTTCAATGCCAGCCCTTTTTCAAGTATTTACTGCTCCAGCACACCTGGTCAGTTTCATGAAGGGTGCGAAAATGTGGCAGTTCACTGATGTGTTGGATCAGCTGAGCTGGTGCAGGGACAACCTGAAACTGTTCAGGGCACCGCTATTGTTATAAAATCTTTTTGGTATTATATTGAAGCCTTTTTAGAACAATATAGAAGCTAACATTAGAAGCTATTGAACTAGCCCCTCTAGCTGGAATATGGGATAATGTTCAGAGTTTCACCATATGTAGCATCCAGCTACTTTTTGTCTACTGTTTGTTGAATACTACAGCTCTGGCCACACTAATCTTGCTGGAATACTGTTTAGAGATAAACTATGAGATTTCAAACACAGCCGTAATGGTGACAAACGTAATAGTAATAATTTAATAGCAACTTTATTTAATAAGGGGAAATGACTTGTCAATGTCATAACGCGTTTATTATCAGCTATAAATAAACCCAAGTCTTTCTCTCAAACACATACGCAGTCTAATCTCATTTCTATGTGTTGCGCAGTGGCTGCGCATTTGTAACGCCGTATTGGCGTTAACCAACACGCCCTCCTCCTCCATCTCGTCCAGCACTCGGCCTCCAGCAGGCCTGCAGATATCGCGAGAACGGCGCCGGTGTGTGACTGGCTGTCGGGGCGGCATCAGCAGCAGCAGCAGCAGCAGCGGGCTGAGGGAGACGGAGAAGGAGGAACGCGGGCAGGCTGCATCATGGCGGACAGAGACAGCGGCAGTGAGCTCGGAGGATTCGCCACGGGCCCCGGCGGTGGCGGCGGTGGCGGAGGCGGCCCCGGAGGAGGCGGCGGTGGCGGTGGCGGTGGCGGCAGCGGCAGCGGCAGCGGCCTGGGCCTCGCGCACCCGGGCGCCGTGGGCGCAGCGTCGCGCCTGCAGCACGACACCGAGGAGCTGGCGTCGAAGCGCGTCGACATCCAGAACAAGCGCTTTTACCTGGACGTGAAGCAGAACGCGAAAGGTCGCTTCCTGAAGATCGCCGAGGTCGGCGCCGGCGGCAACAAGAGTCGCCTCACGCTCTCCATGTCCGTGGCCGTGGAGTTTCGGGACTATCTGGGCGACTTCATCGAGCACTACGCGCAGCTGGGGCCCAGCCACCCGGACACGGCGCAGGACGAGCCGCGGCGCGCGCTTAAGAGCGAGTTCTTGGTGCGCGAGAATCGCAAGTACTACATGGACCTGAAGGAGAACCAGAGGGGCCGCTTCCTGAGGGTCCGGCAGACCGTGAACCGGGGGCCCGGCCTGGGCACGGCGCAGGGCCAGACTATCGCGCTGCCGGCGCAGGGGCTCATCGAGTTCCGTGACGCGCTCGCCAAGCTCATCGACGACTACGGCGTGGACGAGGAGCCCGCCGAGCTGCCCGAGGGCACGTCGCTCGCCGTGGACAACAAGCGTTTCTTTTTCGACGTGGGCGCCAACAAGTACGGCGTGTTTATGCGCGTGAGCGAGGTGAAGCCCGCCTACCGCAACTCCATCACGGTGCCGTGCAAAGTGTGGTCCAAGTTCGGCGCCACCTTCTGCAAGTACGCCGACGAGATGAAGAGGATCCAGGAGCGGAGCAGGGAGCGGAGGGCGCGCGAGCTCCTGCCCGAGGGCCTGCACGGGGACGACGGGGACGAGGATTAACCGGGGCACGAGGAGGATAAGGAGGAGGAGGGGGGGGGCGTGTGTAAGTGTGTGATGCTTATCCGCGAGGACGGAGACGTTCAAAAGACAGAAAACACGTGAAGAAAGAACGAATGACAATGTAAACAAACATTGCTGCACAAGAAAGGCATGTGGCGGAGTTTGAACCTTCACGGAGGCGTTGGGTTTTTTCCCCACCTGTATTCCGACAAACGCCGCCTCCTGCGCTACGAGTGGTCAGTTGTGTCCAGGCCCCTGCGTTGGAACTGGCCAGAAGCAGCGCTCTTCCTGGTCTACCAGTGGCTAGTAGGATCCTCCTGCGTTGGAATTGGCTGATAGGATCATTCTCGCGCTGGGATTGGCTGCTTGTGTCTTGCCTCATGTGCTACGATTGGCTAGTAGTGTCCTGCTCGCTGTGCTAGGATTAGCCTGGATCTCGCGTCCTGCGCTGTGATTGGCTCATAGTTCATGCTTGCAAGCAGTCCACCGAAAGTGTGAAGTACTGGCCCGTTTTAGCGCAGGCGGCGGGGTTTGCCGGAATACGGGTAGGGAAAAAAATAACACGGACTTAGAGCTGCATCTATTGCCCCATGGCCTGGATTTAAACCCACTTCCTCACCACAGAACAATAAGCCGCTGCTATCAGTACCACAGTGATGGTCCACATGTCCATAGGTGGAGTGTCCTTCCCCATGCCCCCCCATTTGCTCTGTACACGTCCAAGCTATTGCAGCACGGTTCCAAAGTGTGAATTGGAAAAAATGTGCTTAGTGCTACCGTTTGACTTCCAGCACAAAAAGCTACTGTATGTAGGAATCATCTGAACCAAAATTGTAATTAAAACGAATCTAGATTGGGAGGTACAAGTAGGATTAAGCACTGCTTGCACTGGCGTGCACCACAGCAGAAGACTGAGCACGGACCGCAAGCCCCTCTGCCCGAGCGAGTGAAGGGCAACTGAGGAAAACTGAAAGTGTGTCCTCACTCTTTTGTCCTTTTTTGAAACTTAGAGAGAGAAAAAAAGCAAATGGGACAGTTTCCATGAGCTGTTCCACTAAGCAGAACGCAGAGAGGCTTTGCTATTACGACCGCTAAACGTTTATTTCTATTAAATATATCAACCCTATTGCACCATGCACAGCAAAATCCCCAGGAATGAACCCTACAGTGGTGATCCAACACCTGCAGTGTCCACTCGAGTCCAGCTGGACACACGTGGACACTGTAAAGAGTCCATTCAGCAACCGGGGCCTTTGCTGTGCGCCCACTGGCGTTTGGGCACGTTTCATTCAAGTGCTAACTTAGAACTACAAATTTATGATTTTGTGAATCAGATGTATTTAGATTCTTATATAAAAAATGCCCACGTTTTCTGTGGGGACTTTGTTTTGTTTGTTTGTTTTGTTTTGTTTTTTTCCTTCTTTTGGGAGGGGGGAGGGGGGGGAGGGGGAAAAAAAAACAGGAGCTGTCCACACATGGCGCGAGAAGGCGTTGCGTAAAGACGCATGGGAACGTGCGGAGCGTCCTCTACAAACGTCCAAACCGACCTGGTGCCTTAAAGCCGCCACACGTTTACATGCTGTCCGCGTCCAGACGCTCTGCACCGCTGTTTGTCTTTTTCTTCGTTGGCGTGGTCGCTGTTGCCACCTCGGGGTGCTTCTCTGGACTTTCCAACAAAGCCAAAACTCCAAAAAGAAAAAAAAGAGGCTCACGGGTTTTTCTCTGCATCACCTGGGACACAGCAGACGACGACGACAATGATGAATATGAGGATAATGATGATGATACTGATGATGATGACGACAGTGATGAGGACCGAAGGATCAAACAGCATTTATGTAAACATGGATGTAGTCACCCAGAAGCTGTGGACGTCTGCTCCTGTAGTGCTCCGTGTTAAAAAAATATATATATAGATAAGAAAAAATGGACGTGGAAAGATTGCTATCGCTCCAGCCCCTGTGTTTTGCTCTCTAGGCCTGTGTGAGTAGACGTAGGGCCGAGGCGGTAGCCTGTGTGGCCTTGTATGGTGCTAATAAACCCCACTCGTGGGGGCTTTGTCCGTCTCGCTTATCCGTTGTTGCACCAGTTTTGTCCTCTTTCCCTCTCTCTGTTTTACTTTAACTGCAGCATTATCATTGAATTGCTGTACCGGGTGCAATACAGGTGGCGTCCCGTCCAGCCTTGTCGTCCACTGCACGCGAGGCCCTCTCTTCTCCTCTGTTTGAGGTTTTGCAAAAACGTGTCCATATGTTTCCATGCTGAGGGTCAAGGTCGAGGGTGCTTAGCATGCACCTGTGTTGTGTATGTGTGTATACAGTTTTAAAGGGGCACTCTGGCCAAAATGAACAATCAACATGCCTAATCACCTGTTACAGCAGTATCGCAGTACTGATTTCCTGGTTTAAAGACTAGGAAAACCCCACTTCTTATGATGCATCTTGAAAGTGGAAGTATATTTTGAGAGACTACAAGTACTTCAGGTTGGGCTGTTGAAATTTTTTTCACCAGCTGGCTGAATCATTCTTTTAAAAATGGTTTCATGACCAGACAAGGATAGTGCTATATCATTAATGCTGCCTGGCCTCACAGACTTATTTATTAGCCTCTAACTAAGTGGCCATCCTTGAGGATTTGTTGAGCAGCGTAGGGATGGATGAAAACACAAATACTGTTTAAAAATTTGTAAATTCTGTAAGGCTGAGGGACACAGAGCTGCACTACAGAATACTACATAACATAACAAATAACATTCAATTTTAGTTTTAGGCCAGGATGCCCCTTTACTGCCAAGGTACCAGAAAGTGTTCAGAGCGATGCCACAGAACAGTGGTCCTCAAGCATTTTTGCTCAATCTCAACTCCCAGTACATAGGGATAAAGCAAAAATAAGGACCGCCTGGGGGTCCCCGAGGACTAGTTTGAGAACCACTTTTGAGTTTTTTTGGAGAGCCATGCATTCAAAGGTTCTTTAGAAAACCAAATGTGGTTCTTCTATTGGGCATCGCTCCGAAACTCCCTTTCTGGCACTTTTATTTTTAACAGCGTATGTGTTGTTCAGTTGTGGCAATGTATGGACACAGTCTTGGTCACTTTAAGAAAAGCTCCTGCTGGAGCTTCTCTAGTTGTTGTGTTGCGTTAGGTCACTTTTCTCTCTTTTCACATGTTTAAAGGCACAATGCTTCCTGTAGGGAATCTTAGATATTTATTTGAGAAAAGAATGATAGGTGAAGAATGTTATTATGAGGAAAAAATAAACCTAATCCCGTGCCCTCTTAAAGTGTGGCAGATTAGCACCGTTGCACAGGCATAGCATGATGAGTCTGCTTTTGTTAGAGCAGAAAAATATGGCTGAGATTTGATAGCTGGTATTCAGAGGGTATTTGGGACACAGCCAGGCTTTGTAGTACAGTCTGGTAGACTTTAAGGCCATAAGCGGTACACACTGGAGTTTGTTACTGAAGACTCCCCACTGTAGGCCTCAGGCTTTAGACTCATGCTCAGCGTGTGAGCACATAGATAGACTGAGGATGCAGGAATCGTGGCCATCACCGACCCCTTCGGAGGGGTCTGTCTGTCTGTCTGTGCAGTAAAGGCATTCGAAGCACTTTTTCTCTCTCTGCCCTCCCTTTTAACATAACCCTCAAACTGGGTTATGCTCAGCTTAGACCATACCTCCTCAAGATGTGGGCTTTGCCTCTACTGCTCACTTCTCATAGCAGAGGCTATTTTAAGCCCTGTTTATAGACTTTACTCTTTTTTTCCAATTCTCTTTATGCCGCTAAAGCGAATCTTTTTTCCTAACACTGCCCCGATCTGATTACTAGTTCGACATGTGCCACAAATGCGATGACTTGACCAGTTCAATTAAGCTCCTTGTTTGTACATAAAGTGCTACCACAAATCACAACTGGAAATAAAACAAAATAAGCTTTTTGATCTTTAAAAAAGGGCGTTTCCTGGAACAGATAAATTATTACGCATCTTAAACAAGTCCTCACAAAATTTACAGATCATTTTGCACTCAAGAAAACAAAAGATGCCTCTCACACTCGAATACGCACACTCGTGAAAGAGGCCTATTTCTATTTGAAAGAAAATCTAGTCCATTCTAAAGGTGCTATTAGGTACTAAATGGCTCTGTGATCTAGCTCACTGCCCCTAGAGCTGGCGGTGTTTTCACTGAGAGCGTTGCCTGCTCTCCCACTGTCTGTTCCAGAGTGTTAGAGCTTACTTACTTACTTTCTCCACACCAGCAAAGTTCTGGCTTTGCTTCCAAACCACAGAGCAGTATCTGCTGATAGATGATGATGATGATGATGCACTGTGGTGAATATTGATAAAACATGCAGGAATGAATCCTGTCAATCCTGAATACTACTCCAGTCTTGTGGTGGGGAGCCAGAGCTAGTTTAACATAGTTTCCTGTTAGAGGTGCTTCTTCTAATGTCATCTGTCCTTAAACTGTCCGAATGTGTGTTTCTGAACATCACTGCTTACAATAGCTGTTTCATCGCCTTAAAGGGGAATTCCACCAAATTTTTTAAATGTTCAGCGTAATTCAATCGTCAGAATATGAAGTCATTGACAGTGGTTTGATTTGAAATGATTCATTGTAGATTAACTTACAGACTCGCATTTCCTTACAGTGGTGGTTATACGAACCAGGGGTCACGATGTCTGCAACACAAATAGAGCCATTTTATTTACTGTTCAAAATAACCAGTGAACCTACACGTCTTCTGCATTTTTATATGGTCTGATAATAAAGGTAAAATAGTGATAAATCTGAGGAAATGCGTTTTCTTTGGGGACTAGTTTGCCAACCTCTAGCATGAATGGTTTTTGAAAATACCAAAGTAGGCCAGAAAAAATTCATACAGCAATTGCATCAGGCAGCGAATTTGTAACCATTCCATAATAGTAGTAATAAGCTTATGTGAGTTTTTAGAGGTATTAACGCTTCGGACGCCTGGTTCCATCATCACCATTGTGAACGTTTCTGACAGTATGTTTCACTAGAACAGAGCGTTTTATGTCAAACCACACTGAATGACTTTGTTTATACCATTATTTAGATCCTTTATAAAAATTGGTACAATTCCCCTTTAAAGCTCTTACCTATCCGCAAAACAGAGCCAACGTAGACTAAACATAAAAGTGATAAAAAAAAAACAAATGAGATTCAGCAAAACTTTAACAACTGATTTCAGTGTGTGTGTGTGTGTGTATAGAGTATGTGCAATGTTACGTTTTATGTTCACCCTCTTGTTGAAACTACGGCCAGTTACAATCCTCTCTTAGTTCAGTTCTCACTTTATGTTCCTAATCTCTCCCCAGCTCAAGGCCTTGACCAGACCAGCTTAGCGTATACATGTTTGCATATTTCTGTGTTTCTACATTCAAAAGAGATTGTGTAGGCTTTGGGTTCGAAGTGTAGGTGGACATTAGGGATGGGTTTAGAACTACAGGATTCAAGGGTAAATGCACAAGGAGAGTACTCACATATCCCATGTTCCATCCCTGTTTTATTCCCTATGAAATGTGTTGTACTTAAAAAAAAAAAAATTAAATATATGACCTGTGATGTGTGTGTATATATGGTTTGTTACATATGATGCTCCTCTTTATGAAAAAAAGAATAACCTATATATATATATATATATATGTGTGTGTGTATGTATATATATATATATATATATATATATACATATATATATATATATATATATATGTATACATATGTGTGTGTATATATATATATATATATATATATATATATATATATATATATATAAATATATATATACATATACAGGAAAAGCATATTGCCGTTTTTTCCTTTGTATTTTATACTTACAGAAAGCATTGAATCAAATGGATAAATACTTGCACTTTAAATATATTAAGAAAAATAAAAGATCTGCATATTATTTTTGATAGGAGATCTCACATTCAAAAGAGTATAACGTTACTTTCCAGGCTTTGTGACAATTGCTGTTGGGCAAAGATGTATCATGTTCTTCTACTTATTGAAGTCTATTTTGTCTGTGTTACAGAAGGTTTACTAAAGTCAATTGCATGATGAAGTAGTAGTGCACCAACTGTTCTTTTATTTAGTTGGTTAAAATGTCTGATGAAAAAAAAACTGTGATGATTGCTCTCATGTGCGTACCCATGTTAAACTTCAGCCATCCATTTTAGAGTATTACTTATTTTTTTTTGCCTTCCTTCTAACATAAATATGGTGCTTACATTGGCTTAGAAGAAGTCCCTCTCATTCTACTCTTCATCATTTCCACTTTCGTCATCATCCTCTGTATCCTGCATCCATTCCCTTGCTGTTTGTGTATTATCACAAATTTATTGAATTTCCGTTGTTGGTAACAAGTGCGTTTTTGTACAGGTACGTACCTTGTTTCTGAGTTGGAAAGCCTTTTTTTTGTCTGAAGATGACTAATTGCAATAAAACATCCATTTCCCCTGGCATTTTTAGTGGCTTTTCATATGACTGTTGTCTGAAATGACTGGTGTGTTAACCCTTTTGTGGTAAACACAGTATATGAATCATCTCTGAATGAAAAGCAGTGGAATGTACTTAACAACTGATGTACTTAATACGAAGTACGGACAACTTCTGGTGCACTTTCTGCCATTTGCTGAGTCATAACTTGTAGAAAGGCATGATGATGACAATGAGCTTGAAGTCTTTTTCCAAGTGCACTCATACAGGAGGTCATAACGCCCCCTAATGGTGGGATAAAGAGCTGTCCACGGTGCTGAAAACACAAGATGTGATACTTGGTTAAAAAGATGGTTCTTCAAGGGTTCTTTAATAAAGGCAATAGTTCTGTTTGGAACCATGAGCTCTACATAGAACCATTTCATGCTTAAATGGTTCTTTGCATGGTGAATTTCAGTTCTTCAGATTGATGGAAATATTGCACCAAAAAGGGTTATTCTTTTGTTACAAGCTTGGCATCATGCCAGTAGAGGACCCCTTCTAGTGCTCTATAGAACCATTTTCAAAAAGGTTTTATATAGAACCATAGACAACACATTCTCCATCAATCTGAAAAATCATTTCACCATGCAAAGAACCATTGGACAGAACCATTGCCTTTACTAAAGAACCCTTGAAGGGCCATCTTTTTTTAGAGTGTAGGTATCAAACCCCAACCTTTGTAGGAGTACAGAAATATCAAGGCCAAAAAAGTACCAAGTTCCTTGTAGAACTGCATCTATACAGTGCATCTAGTTCAGGCTCTGTTTTCTTTTGTTGAGCAAGAGCAGTTCAGGAGAACAGAACTTAATTAAATTAAACCCAGAATAACAATGAGTAACAAAATAAGAAGAACTTTAGCTCTAACCCCAGCCCATCAAAACTTAATTAGCTGGACCACTAACTAATAATTTTGTTATGAAGAAAGGACCATAATGCATTGAAACGTCATTAAACTAAAATAATACAATGGTTATCGTAATTTTTTAATGGAGAAAATGCTGAAATTTATGGGTTTCTTTCGACATTTGCACAGCCAACATGTCGCTTTTTCTTTTTTCTCATAACACTCTGTTTGGACTGTGCCTCTGAAAAACCTCCATTTGGAGGGCCATGTAGCCCTAACACTTTGCCCTATCCCTCTATTTTAAAAAATCAGGACACCCTACCCCGTGTGGACGTGCAAAATGAAGGGGTAAGGACTAAGTGGTAGGGACTACAGGTGAAGTGGGATTGGGCCTTGGTAAGGGCATCGTACAGTGGGTAATGATGGACCTGACTAACCAGGGCCCTTCCTGGATGGGGGCCCTCCAAACGTCTCACAAATAAATAGATTTTGGTTTCTAATTTTGCTACATTTGCAACTTTTTGTTATTATATATAAATAAATAATAGTGTCCATGTTAAGTCCCACTTAATGACCCCCTTCCCCCCCCTCCTCAAAAGCAAAAGTGGTTTGATCCTCAGTGCACTAGTTGTTGGAAATAACACGGCTAAAAAGAGCAGTCAGTGGTTTTCTCCTGTTCTGGACCCAAAATGAAAAGCAAACTTAAGATTTCAGAAGTGCAAGAAGCACAGAGAGCGAGAGAGAAAGCTGAAAAAGGGCAGGCAGGGAACTGCTGAAGAGTTTCTTTCAGGAAACAAGTGAGCCTAAAGTGTCAAACAGTAAATATGTTGCAGTAAAGTAAGCTAGCTTGCTAGCTAGCTAGCAATTAGCTCGTAAGCAGTTATTCATAGCAAGCACGAGCTGATACAAGATTTGATTTAATGCAGCTAGTAAGCATTTTATTAATAGTTAATGTAACAGACAGTGTTTTTGGGATCATAACTCAACGAAGTTCAGCCGCAGCTCAGCTGCTAACCTGTAAAAACACTCACTATTAGTTTTGGAGGCAGCCACAGTCACTGAGAGCGAGAGAGCAGCACCTTTTCCTTTCCTGATGCAGCTGAAGACAAGACAAGGTGAGCTCAGCTAAGCAGACGGCTAACAGGTGTTCCAACTTCCATTCAAACATTTGTTGAGCATTTTAAGTGAAAAAGGCAGTAAACATGCTAAAATATTTCTTTTGTTTTTCTCTTTTGGATCTACCACTAATTACATTCATTGTCTTGAACAGAGACTGCAAAAGTGGTATCTTGGCAAGTGAAATTATCTTAAATCTAGTTCATATATTTTTCTTATTTTGAGATTGTTGTAACCTAGTTTAATGCTTGTTTAACTCTATTCTAGATATTTTACATGTCCAATTATCTCACTATGTTGGCAGACAATTTTGCTTGTTTTAAGAAACAGGTTTATGAGAGGTCTATTTCTAGTTGAAAGAGCTTCTAGTCTATGCTGAAGGTGCTTTTTAGGTACTAAATGGTTCGGTGATCTACCTCACTGCCCGTAGCAGTAAAGTCAAGTTAGCAATTTTGTTGCTAGATTTAGCAACTTTTTTTTTTTTTTCAAAAAGCACCCAGCAACAAATTTAGCTACTTTCAAGATTTATTTGGAACTTTTAGCAACTGTTGAAAAGTGACTGAAATGCTAAAATGCAGGCATTTCCCTATAAATGACACAAAAACGATTTTCTCTGTCACACACCGTCACTCTGCCTGGCTGCAGTAGTGACGTCAGCAGTAGTGACGGCTCAGCTCAGCAGGCAGCAGCAGTAAGTTCATCACTGGTGGCCGACTGCAGAAGCAGGAGGATGCGTTTGACGACGCAAACTTAAACTTAACCTGGCCATGTTAGGAGTTAAATACATTCAATTCAGATTCCAGTTGTTTGGTTGGGAAGTCAAAATTTACAAAACAAAAAAAAAACAAAAGACGGATTTGGAATTTTCTCCACAAAGTAGCATTAACTATCTGAAAAAGGCTAAGCCTTAAGTATATTACTTTTACAAATTAAAATATGTGATAATAAACAAACTAACCAAACTATCACATTTCAAATTATATTTACCGCCAAGATGGTTCCAATTTGAGTAACCTTACTGTGAATTGTACGTAATGACGTCGGCTTCACTTCATTACGTAACGACGTCACCAGCGTCATTTCGCAACTTTTAGCAATAAATCCACCGGCCCAGAGCGACTTCCCCTGAAAATGAGTTGGCAATATTGGCCCCTAAAGCTGTCTGCGTTTTCAGAGAGCGTTGCTCTCCCACTGTCTGTTCCAGAGTGTTAGAGCTTACCTCCTTACTTTCTCCACACCAGCTGTAACTTGTATATTAGTGTCAATATGAAATGGCTTAACTTATTCAAACCTATCACAGCAGCATTAATGGGTTCCCTTCCGAAATAATGATACATATAGACACGTTCTTCAACTTAAGGCTCCTCAGTGATTCTCAGCCAGGTTTAGACTAACCTGTAGCTACTCTGTAGTGTTTATATCAGTTCTTATAAACTCACCCAATGACCTCACACACTCTCATATGTCACAGGACTGACCGGAAATGGCTAGACCACCTCCGGACAGGAGCACAAATGTGAGTTACTGGTAGAAAAGTTGAGGAGAGGATGAATTGGTATTGGCAGAGTAAAACAAAAGACAGAAATACAAGACCATATACCTTCTTTTAAACCAAAGGACTTATCATTTGGGCATGCTGAGCAGTAATCAGTAAAGCACAAAAACTGATCACGATTTGTTTTTTTCCTATTGAATAATGTTATTTGGTTAGTAGCTTGTTGGAAGGAAATGAAATTGACTGCCTTGCTAGAAAAGCAGGCATAGACCAGCGTAGCTATTCAGCATTTGGATGCTGGTATGCTGGTCAGCAGCAATGTAAGTTGTCATGCTGAACACCATCAAAACCAGCATATGTTGTGTTTTAGATGTTGATATGCTGGAGTGACCATCTAAACCAGCACCAGACCAGCATTAACCAGCGTTAACCAGCTTAAACCAGCATGAGCTTAATGCTGGTCTGTGCTGTTTTTTTCAGCAGGGTATCAGTCATATCTTTTAAAAATATAATTCTTTTTAAATGACAGTGTTTTGACTATACCAGTAATATTAGTTTAGAATATTCTGTGATCTAATTGGTTAGATAAACTTTACCTCTTGCTATATGATTAGCTGAATTTTCCATCCTGTACTCTAATTGGCTAGTAGGATTTTCCATACTGCCATCTGACTGGCTAGCTGAATTTTTCCTCCTTCCCAATTGATTGAACGGTTTAACTTTCTACCTTGTTATCTGACTGGTTACATGATTTTTTCTTCTGGCATAAAAATAACTCAAGTCATAAGTCAAGTGTCTAACACGCCTGATGGACAGTCAAGGTCTTCTAAACTACTAAACTTTTTTCAAAGGTCTCCAGGAGGATCACACTTATGCAGTTTACAATTTTAAATAAATTAGAAGACAGTTTCTAAACAGGTTGTAGACAAAGACATTTGTGAAGACTGCTATGTTCATATGCTGAAAGAACTAGGAAAAATGCTAAAGTGTACCTTCCTTTTGCAAGAGAACATAGGGACAATTAATAAATTCCAAACAGAGCAGGGGAAATTATAAAATAATCATCACAATCTTTTATTACAACAGCATTTGTATTCTACCCTAAACATTGGGGAAAATCATTGTTAGCACAACAGCCAAAGCGACAAGTATAGGGAAGTCAGTTTAAGAAAGCAGTTACTAAGAGTGTATAAAATTGCAGCTCTTTATATGTTATTACACATATAGCAGTGTGAGAGCCAAAAGCTCATTCGCTCACTCTCACCATCATCATGCGTCAAAACTGCACTAGAAAAATCTACTTGCCATTGCTTGAACACAGAAAGTCCGTACCATGAGGATGGATGGAGATGCACCTGGGGCCAACAGTGCGCCAGTTGAAGAGCCAAGCATTGTTATAGTGCCATGGACAGTCTTCCTCCTTACAGGTTACGCTGATCCCATCTTCACTATACTGATTTACAGTATAATAATGCATTTTAACATGTGGTCTTTGTAAAATTTAGTCCCCTATGCTGCAGCGTGAGATGCAGACATTGGTCAGAGTTTGCAGTCCTGCTGCTTCGTGCTTTGTCCGGGATTGCTGGGAAGGCTTTCGTGGTCTGCTGAAGAAGACGAGGACTCGTGTGTCGCTTTCAAACACATATAAATCATCATCTTCACTGCTGTACTTCGACATACAAGTAACTCTCACTTTCGGCTTACTTTCTCTTTCGCTCCCTTCATAGCACATCCACACGCACACCCACACCCATGCATACATCTTCTGATGCTTTGTGTTCCTGTTTCTCATTTCATACCCTGTCTTTTTTGAGATACTTAAGACATTTTTGTAGAATAAGATCCTCATCTTGGGTCCCCTATCACCCCCAGCAGGTAGCTCCATTGAAAAAGATCTGAGATTAAATATAGAATCGACTAATTTAAGATAAATTGCTTTCAACATTACAAGAGTCCACTGTAATGGCTCAGAAAAGAAAACCTCACAATAAATATGACATAATAAATAATGGGGATATTTGCATCATACTGTAGACAGCTCATATGAATCTGAACACAGCTCAGCGTGTGACAGAGCCCTTAAAATGGCTACTACAGAGGCTGAGACATCGAAGGCCTCGCGAATAAGCCAAGTGCTACATCTCTAGCAAACATCAAACAAGTCGGTCAGGAAGCCGTCCCTACATACAGCCTCGGACTATTCACGCAATTGTGACGTCACTATAATGGTGTCATGATGACGTGTCATGACATTATGCTGCCGTGTCATAAAGAAAAGCTTCCAGAATATATTATGTCAGAAATCCTTACTGACATCAAGAAAGGTGCCTTGTGACGCTGCAGTAGAACGTCTCCTGACGTGTCCTGACATTACAATAAATTAGCCTCGTGATCTTCATAGTGCATCTCTTTACCATCACAATAAACTGCCATGTGATGCCACTATCAACTTGGCATGAAACGCAGTCATGTGATGTACATTTTGAGCCTCTAATACAGTCTTGGTCTCCTCTTTAATTCTGCATTTCCTTTTTTGGCACATAATGTATGTTCATTTTTCAGTATTAAAAATGTTTACGAGCGTCATAATAATACTAATGATACTTACAATAGTCATAATTTACTGTACATTGTTTTTATGCTACGTTCATGTTTCTCTCTTTTTCCAGAAAGAGAACTGCCTCAGCTGTCCAATACCATCGTGGCTGAACTTCAACCACAAGCGGAGAGTTCAAAAGTTCATGTGCACAGAACCCAAGATGGCCCTTCAGCTGCGGTTGTCAGGGTTTTTGTGACCGGTTCGGCCGTTAAGCCCATGACCCTGGCTGATGGACGGGCTGGACTGGGTTTTGCGCAGGTGGCAGTCCCTGCTGTCTCCACTGAACACACTGGCCTCAATCTTGTCCAGGTCGTCGCTCCCCACACGCAGTTTGGCCTGAAGCAGGTTGACATACGTCTCATAGCGGCTTTTCTGCATCGACAGCAAAACACACACAAACAAAGCAGCTGATAACATATTCTACTCTGAAAGGGGGCGCATATAAAGTGGATACAATATCCTGTTAATATCCTTTATTTCAAAAGAAACACTGGTGTCTACAGACTTTTCAGTATACAGTGTGTATTACATACAGTAATGTGCAAAACATAGTTTACTGCCATTATGGCAGTAAATATGTTTTGCCTGGCAAAACACTGTAACATTAGAAAAAGAAAAAATATTATTCCATTAAAATATATACAAATCACAATTGGTATCATTAGGATTTGCTTAGCCAACAGTGATGATCAATAACAAAACTCTTATTGATACTACTCCCCATAATTTGGTGCAAAACAAAGAAGTGACATGAAAAGATGTAAAAAGCTTCAAAATAAAATTATGAACAGCTACGGCTAAAATATAAACAACCATAAACAAACCAAAATGTGTTACTCCTGGTTGTCAGGACAGCTCGAGTTCAAACTTAGGCTACCTAGCAGTTAACGATTTATGCTATTCTAGCTAGGTGATTTAGACTCTGAAACTATCCTATCTGTAGTTTTAACACAAACCTGAAGTTGGCTTCCTATCTGCCAGCTTCTTGTTTGAATTGTCTTATTCCACCTTCAATGGTGCAGCAGTTATTATTATAACTATCAAAATATCCTACCTAGAGTTTTCTGTAGGGAACTACCTATAAATATGCACTACGGTACAACATTTTGACAAACTAGCACAATTCATCAGAACACCGGGAGGCTGAACTGAAGACCCAGGTGCAGTAGCTGCTTTGCTAAAGTAAACACACTGCACTGCTTCAGATTTATAGAATGTTGCATTTGTAAGTGCTTCTTGAGGTAGCTGGTGTTTCCCCCTTTGCACACAACTACTGTTTTAAATGCATAACATTAGCTGCATTATCATTAAATTTAGGGGTGAGGTGAGCCCACACTTTTGAACACCTTTCAGCCAAGACTAGAGAGCGCAGAGTGATACTCGGCATTTGCAATGGTTAAGGGAGTCAGAGGCATGTTAACACTTTCGTCACATGGAGCAGAGCGGCCCTCCCGCTGGTCCAATCTAGCACCAACCATTTGAAAAAAGCCTGGTACACAGAAAGAATTAACATTACATAAATACCAATATATGCACTGTATGTCCAGGAGGAAAATCTGAGCTACAATGTTTTTTGTCCAACAGGGACTATACCTATATACTAGTACAGTATAGTGTACCACAGTGGTCTCTAACCCTGGTCCTAGAGAGCTGCTTTCCTGCAGAGTTTAGATCCAACCTGCATCCAATAAGCTGCCCCACCCCTCACTTAACTCTACTACATCTGATCCAGCCAATCAGGGACATGGGAAGAGGTCCATTAGCTGGAGCAGGTGTAACAAATTGTGTTTGGAACTAGACTTTGCGGAAAGTCAGCTCTCCAGGGCCAAAGTTGGAGACCACTGCTGTACCTTCATGCATGCATATATTGCACACTACTGCATAGTTGCACTCTACTGTTTACCAACTGCAGTGTCACATTACCATGGATACCACTGTGTTTCAGTGCACTTTATCTGGGCATGGACTAATGCCAATTCAGGCATGACTCCTTGCACTGCCAAGGACCTGGGCATGTTCCTTCTTGAACTATGTAAATTTAGCTCAACAGTTATTTACCTCTGTATCTGGTTCTACCACTTCTAAATTATTATATGTATTACAGGGCTGGGGACTGCACACAGAATCCTATTGTATTTGTACAATGACAATTAAGGTATCAATCTATATATATTAACATATACAAAGAGTGAGAGAGAGAGCTGACCTCGTAGGTAAGGTAGTGCTCTTTGAGGCGGTATTCCTCTGTCTCTTTGCTCTTGGGCATAAGCTCTGGAGGGTTCTTCTTGTGCTCCTCCACCTCCAGAGATATCTGCTTTAGTTTACTCTCATGACATTTCAGCTGCTCCTCCTGCACCAATCACATGTGCCAATAAAGCAAGGTCAGAGTGGACAGACCAATTAGACACAGGGGAAAAATATTGATGATGCAAGTTCTATGCAATCAATTGTTAAACTGCAGTGTTTATCAGGTGTGTGTGTGTGTGTGTGTGTATGTATAACACAGGTCTTTGTGTTTGTTTCTTGCATGTATGCAAATAATGACAAAATTGGTCAATTTTTTATATACCTTACTGTTACCTTGTTTCGGTTGAAGTGTGTTTATTCACATATATCCTTCTGTGAGTGTGTGAAGTGTGTGCACCTGGTTGAGTCTAGTTGTGGATGATGGAAGCAGTGGTCTGCAGAATTTCTTCATGGAGCCGATGGCTGCAGGGAACGCAGGAGCAGAGAACAGAGCAGCTACCAGATTTATCCTGAAGATCCATGACATCATCTCCTCCTCACTCCTACACACACATAAACACACACAGGCATCTATGAGTAGTAATAACTAGTGAGTAGAATGTGGAGTATAACACACTATATGTCACCTCTGTTAATCCTGTTTCATAAACACTGTATTTATTCGGGGCTGCACGACTGTTAACTTTTACTAGTCGACTAGTCATAATACCTTGCTAATATGGCTTGGTTGTAGCGTCAGACACTGCAGTTTCAGGTGTTAGATGTGCACTGCATAAGAGTTTTTTGTTGTATTCTCTGTAAGTTTTAGCCTCAGGCACTCACAGTACACAGACTGTCTAATGTAAACTGCATGATAAAATCACCACAGCTCTCAGAATCTCACCTCTCATGGAGAATTTACGTTACCTAGCTATCTGCTCTTCTGTGTGGGCGATAAAATATAACAATACCGTAGACATTTTTCATGATACATGATACACTCAATTCATTAGTAGTGCCACATTTAAAAACTGCCATCAAAAACAACATTTTACATACTGAGCTGCACTAAATGTAAATAAACAGGGCTTATTATGCCTTATTTTTAATGAAACATGCAGTTGTTCAGTCTTCTTTAAGTACTTACAATACAATTTATCATGATAACAATAAATTATCATATTTCTCATCTCTATTTCCATGTACTGATTTTATCAGTTCAATGGAGGACAAACGATTGTTTATCAAGCTAAATGCTGGTAGCAAGCAGTTGCATCTCTATTTACCAATAAACCTTTCAAAACAAGATACAGGCCTAGTCACTGAACCAGAAAACATTTGTGCTGTCCCTTTATAAAATAAGCCATAGGTAGCAAAAAAAACAGACATCCCTGCGCATTTCCTGACCGTTACTGCACTTTATTTAATTCACACATAACACTCAGCGGTCTGTGATGGGTCATTTTGCATGTCAGTCATATGGCCCTTTGTTATCAGAGATGGCTGCTCTCAAAACCCACCCATTCTGGCTTATGAGTCTGTACTTCAGCAGTTTTACCCAGCTTGCAGTGGAATCGACACAAATAAAGTAGTTTGGACTTCTTCTCCTTCCCTCACTGCAGTTTGTACTGTTGCTGTATTTCAGGCACTGTCCTCAAACAGTGGACCACTGCCCACAGTGCCGACTAATGTTTTTATTAGTCGACTAATCTATGCAACCCCTAGTATCCTCCTTCTCACTGCCCTAAACTCAAATGAGGTGTGAGCTTACGGGGCCTGGAAGAGGAAGACCCTCCAGTCTGACGTTTTGAGTTTGAGCACATTGGGTCTCTTGCTGTAGTCGCAGGCTCTGGTGGCCAGTGCATGGTGCACACGCACTGCATTCTTCAGGTCAACTTCAGACAGGTCCTTATCTGGCTTATACTCATCCTGAACACAAGGGGCAGCAGAGAGCACAGCATAAGAGAGAGAGCTGAGGCACTGATGAAGCTGGATAAGCTTGGTCATGTTGCAGTATTTTGTGTGTGTGTGTGTGTGTGTGTGTGTATTACTTTCTGCAGATAGAGGATCATGCCCTTCAGCACAGCATAGAATTTCTTCCAGCCCCGCCGCCCTCTCGGGGCTAGAGAGAGAAAGAGAGAGGGAGAGAGAGATATGGATGGATTTCAGTAATGCTTTCAGTTGTTCGATATCCAGCTGTGAAGGTTATCTCCTCTACATGGTTGAAGCCCAGGATTTCAGCAGCCAGTCTGCAAGCTAAGCTCCAATTAGTCTAATTAGGTCTTACATCATACTAAAGCAGCTATCTTAGAGATACGGAGCCCCTGAGGGCCAAATTTCTTACTGTTAATATAACATTATATCATCCTACCTTCTTTAAGGCCAAATAAGTCAGCTGTATGTGCATCACTATTCTGAGCACTATTTTACTGTGCGCTTTGTGCTTTCCTGCATGCAAAGAAATAAGAAGTATCTCTTGGTCGGCTGAAACTTGCATTGTTGGTGTCTGTCTTAACTTTTCAAGGTTGATGCAAAACGTCAGTTCACTCCTCTCCATTATTAGTATGATTTCTCTGTGCTGTTGTATTTATTTGAAATGTGAAGAGTGTGATCTAACTAACAGAACCAGAACCAAAAATTCATAGATTTGTATTTAATGTGTTAAAACCAACCTTTTTGAAAATGCATGGGAGCATGTGTCACACACCAGTCACGATTTATCACCACTCTGATTAAACAAATCAACAGTAAGTGCTAACCGATCTGAACTGTGCACTGAATGAGACCGCATGCTTGTATCCAACAGTAATGGCAGCCTTATGTGTCTTTAATACAATGATAGAAAACACAGTAGCACACAGAAAGGTCCAATTCCACATGCTAATCCACTTTACTATGACCAGCGTGGATGCACAGGTGCCATAACTCCTCTGGCAACAGGTTTAAAGGAGTTAAGGGGCCATCACTTTGAGACGTTTGGTCTAATAGGGTTAATTTCCACAAAAGCGAATATTCTATCTTCTCATGTGAACACAGGGCTTTACGTTATTTTGGCCAAGGTTTCAAGCATGTGAAGATGTTTAGATCTATTTAACAAACAATGTTGGCCTGCTTTCAACTTTCAAAAGAAGACATCTGAATTTAACAGCCGCGATTTGTTTCATTCTTATGCGACAAGTTACATATTCACATGCAAGCCATTCTTACTCCCTCTCTCTCTCTGAGACACTCACTGCGTTTGCCGTCCATGTCTGCATGACTCTTGCGAGTGAGGATGCCGTGTTTGTACGTGGCAGCGTTGAGCAGCAGTGGGATGGCAATGAAAGGGTTACTGCCGTCTGTTACCCTGACAACCCGCTTTCCTCCCGCCTCGCACTGATCTTCCACCAGCTCTGACAGACTCTTCCTCAACTCCTCTTCCTCACTGCAAATGGAGAGAAGTATTACACACATACACTCTCATATACATCCTGATTACAGCTTATTTTGATTGCACACAGTGTTTATCCTGATGCACAGACAATAAACAAATTGCGATGCACAAATGGAAAGGGAAGATGTTTACTCCAAATACGCAATTACCAATTTAGTTTGATTTTTGGCGATGTGTGTGCAATTTTATGACGTAAATAATGTGACGCAGGTTGGTGCACTCATGCTGTATTTGAATGCCGCTGGTACACTTATACCAAAATGTAATAGCATCATTGTGCATGACTCATCATGGTATATAGCTGGTTGTCTCATACTATAATGTAGCACTTTATTAGATTCATGTTATTTAAACTGTCAAATTATTTATCATGTGTGGATTTAAAATGTACTGTTAAAGGTAACAACTGATAATATTGTTAATATTGCAACTTTGGCTAGTAGAAAATACTGGAACTGTGCTAGTAAGTTTGTGTTCACTTAGCCCACACAATGTGAGCTTTGGGGTAAAAAATGCTAATAAAAATTGTCCAAATAATAAAAAAAGACTATAGGCCGTATTTGGCCATAATAAAATCCGAATCAGTCATAAAAAATGAATGATTGTGCTTCGTTGTAAACAAATGACATAAAGGTTCAGTCACACACACCAGCTTAGCTACAGTGGAAGCAAATACTCACATGGCCCATTCTAATTTCTCATTCTTTATTGAATTATACAGCACCTAAACAAGACAAAGAGGAGAGACTTAATGTTAGTGTTTAAAATGCAACAGGTTTCCAACACTTCGATCCTTATGTGTCAACTACAGCCTCTGGATTTAATGCTCTGAAAGCTTCTGCTGCTGCAGGACCAGAAATGATCAGCTAGATGCTGAGCATATTAGTTTGTACAACAATGACTAACATATTAAACTGTCTTTAAGGTGCAATTGTGACAATAAGCTCTCCTAAACACTACATCAGAACTCCATACCTTGAGTAATTCTTTGGGAAAATCTTTGCCGTCATTCAGACCATCCAGATTGCTAATGAACTGCTGGCAAGACATCTTCTTCCCAATGTTCTGAAACAAGAACAAATCCATACAGAGATTAGGATCAGTTTTAATTGGTTATATGATGTTGTTGTAAACAAGTATACTAAAACAAATTAGCAAATGTAAAGCTGCTGAGGCAGTGATTAGAACAGTGATAAAGATGTAAAAGAAAGAGAGGAAAGCAAAAATATACACCTAGGCTGATATTAAAGGGAATTCCATCAATTTTTCAAACTTTCTATTTATATTTGTTTATATTTCAATTGTTGGGATATAAGAAAAAGGGCATTGAGAGTGTTTTGATAGGAAAAAGTGCATAGTAGAGAAACTTACTAACCAAGGGTCATGGTGTCTACAATGCAAGTATATCCACTTTATTATCCAAAACCAGCAGTGAACCTACACATGGCTTTTGAGTTTGAGTTTATATGTAATGTTGATAATAGTAAAATAGTGCTAAGCTGGAAAACACCCTGCATTTATCCCTCTGCCATGAGCAAATAGCAGAAATATGTTTTAGGCCAAAATCTTATCTCAAAACTATCGTAAAACAACGTCTCAGGCATCAGGCAGCATAACCATAACCATTCTATGCAATAACGTTCTGTGAGGTAGCATTAAAAGGCATTAAACTCTTCAGACGTCTGGTTCCTATCAGCACCACTGTCAACAATTTTGACTCGGTAAGTTTCTCTAAACAAAAGCATTTCACATCAAACCACTCTGAATGACTTTAATTACATCTTAACCATGCAATTATGCAGACTTTTTGAAAAATGTTTGGAGTTCTCCTTTAACAACAATGCCACCAGAGGGCAGTAACGCATCAACAATGATTCTCCTTACCGAGCAAACCATTCAGCCTTTCTAAAACCACACCATTTTCTCTCCTTTGTTCATCCAAGAACAAAATCCATACCAACACACAACTCCACATTTTGGCCGTAGCTGAATCCTCTCTATAAAAATGCTATCACTGCAGTCTTCGCACACAAGACAGTTAGAAACAGAGGTGACATTAATCTATTTTAGAGAAACAAGTCATGTTTGGTAGGAACAGAAGATAAGATTGATATGGGTTTGTACATCATGCCAGAGATGACATTTTCACTGAAAAAAAGAGAATCACACAGAGGAAAAACACAAAGAGGAAGCTGCACTTACCACCTGCTCATAACAGTAGCCGCAGAACGAGGAAAGATAAGCCAGAAATACAGAAGCAGGAGTGTTAGTGTGACAGAGACTTGAAGAATGGCATTGTTAGAACTACAGCAGCTTTAGTCTCTATAGGGTGAAACAACATCATTCAGGACATCATTCTGTAATTTCAGGGAATTCACAGTGAATCAATAATTCAAATCAGCAGTCACAGTGCAATGATTTCAACAGTCAAATTTAAATTTGAAATACAGATCACAGGTATACTCTTGTATCTTCTAAGGGTCTCACATTTGCTGTCTTTCATGGAAACATTAAAGGCCCCATATCCTAATATTTTAGTGTATTGTTTTTCCCCTTGAGGTTTACTTATAATGTTTGTGTGGAATTTATGTTACCAAAAGCAGTCATAATGAAGTTTACATGATCATTTTCCAACCTCTCTTTATTCTATCGAATTAAACAGGCTGTTTTTGTTACTGTGCCTTTAAGACTGATATATGTAAATGATCACTGTTCTGATTGGCTGCCCTGTATTGTGCCTTTATACACTCTCTATGAACACTCTTTATAACTTCAGTGTAAATGGGTGGATGTAAACCCCTGTAGGCTGAATAGGCAGAAATACGTAAATGCTTTAGTTTTCATGATATCACAAAAACTGGTGCTGTTTTTGCAGGTTAGTCTCTATATATGGAGCCTAAGGCCTGGGAAGATAATAGTATGTTTTGAAACTTTGTCAGTGTTTACATACTACATCACACTCTTTTATTGCTAAAAAACAAGGAAAATTCAGTTTTCCTTCATATGGACCCTTTCACATATAAAGTCAAAAAGGGGTGGGCAATGTGACAGTTTGGCATTACCTTACCGTTACTATGATAAACTGTCATACTATACAGTTAGTATGTAAAATGTGAAATACTCAGTGTTCATAGTTTTTGACTGCATTTTTTAAATGTGGCATGACTGGTGTTTTTTCTGTTCAACCTTATCAAACCTCAGAAAAATGAAATTTCTTGATGCATATTGTGTATTGTAATATCATATTTTTGCCATATCACCCACCCATAAATCAAACTGAATCAACAATCATATTGAACCTAAAAATGTGTACTGTTAGTCTATTTACTACAGAGAGAGACAGGAATTACTGCTTTCAGTCAAGACTTTCCTGAATGTTCACCTGAAGCTGCACTACATCAGTGATCAGTCATCCTCACAGGCTTCAAGACAGCTGGAATCTAGACCAGGTGCTAATAATAGCTGCTTAATATATTATCACTGGACATGGTTTGCACTTTAATAACCTGCATCAACCTGATTATGTCTCAGATTTGCAAGGACTGAATCATATAATATAGCACCCAATACAGATTTGATGTTATATGGTAATAATTGTTTCTGCCAGGACTGAACATGTATCTAAATAACCTAATGAGGAGGAGTGAGGAGCATCAGCAGCCATCTTCTCCACGCTAAAGCATAGAAAAACATGGTTACTGAAATAAAGGGCTGTAAGGAAATGTAGTGATTGGTGATGCCAGGAATTGGTTGCTGGATTTAGGCTGTTTATCATATCAATCTAAACACTCTCTAATTAAATCAGAGAGCATCATTAGCATATACAGTCAGCGCCCTGTGTTTCTCTCCGTCTACAGTAAAGACAGTAATTATGCAGTACATTCAACTAAATCAGATCTTTGGCTGCAATTTCCATATCTTATCTATGCAATTATTACAAAGTGCAGCATCTCAGGAGCTAAATGAGAAGACTGTAACCCATTAGCACAAACAGAAACAGAGTCTGTAGCATCTCCAAAAAGGACCCTCTGAGGAATTAGTAAGTCATAGTGTGTAAGCATTTGTTCTTTTGTATACATACATGGCCATGCAGGTCTGTATTCAGCAACATGAGAGCACAAGTCAGTGTGTGAGCTCCATCTGTAAATATAAGAGAACAGGTTTACTTTAAATAACATATACAAACCATATAACTAAAGGGGCACGCCACCCAAAATAAAAGATGTAACCATTGCTACATCTGTCGTAAACATGCCTATTCAGCACCTGTGGTGCCAAAATACTCTCTAGATTTAGATGTTTAGACCAGGAGACCCCCTTCTGATGATGTATCTGGAAGGTGGGAGAAACTTCTGAAATACTATAGCTGCTTTTGGGCAGCTACTCGAGGGTGGACTGCTTAATTTTTTTTTTTTCACTAACTGAATATTGCAGAAGGAAACCAGACAGCTAACGTTACAGCCAAAAAATCCTGTCTGAAGTATATGTAGTGAGAGAACACAGATGGATGAAAACACAAAAAGAATACAACATCACAAATTCTGTTAAATGGAATTAGCTGCTACAGAGTATGACATAACATGAAAACAACATATTAAATGCTAGTTTTGGGCTGAAATGCCCCTTCAACAAAGATACTAACCCAAAGCCATCTCTCATCCTATGAGCTGTCATTTATACAACAATAAGCAATTGTCAAATTAATTGTTTTTGTTATATAAAACACAAAAATAGCTTATAGAATGTAGATTAAACTAAAATAAACAATATACCAAAAAGTATTTTCAGCTGTTTTATTCAATGTTCCAATTATTCTGAGAACTAAAAGTTATTAATTGATAAATAATGTACTGTAATTACTTCTTTATAGTAATTTTAGGTGAGTTATCCGCCAGGATTTGATTACAACATTTGAAATATGAGGCATTCCCAATGTTAATTATAACTTAATTCTTGATGCTATAAAGCTTAGAATCATCTACAGCACCCAGTATTATCATTATTAGTATTGTCATTACAATAACTTCCTGTTCATTATTAGAAACCTGTATAGTTGCATGGGACTAGCATCATATAATAATTTGTACACATTTAATTGCAACCATATTAGTTTAAAATGACTGATTGCAAACTTTTGAAGAGTGATATCAAGCTTTTAAATGGTATTGTGTGTTATACTAATTTTTGCTTGTGTTTCTTGCCTTCGGAGGTGAGGGCCTCTGGATTACAGTGGCAGAAGCGTTTGGAAAAGTGCACCAGAACTCGCTCTCTCTCCTGCGTCTCTCCCATCAGAGGAAATGCCTTTAGGAAGTTCCTGTATGAGGGGGTGGGACAGGGAGAGTGAGCAAGAGCAGAATATGGGTGGATTATTAGTTTTTTTTCTTTGAGAATGAAAGAAGAATCAGAAACCTTACAGAAACCCTACTGAACAGTCTGGTTAGACTTAGTCATTTATGCCTGATTTATGCTTGGAAAGCTCCAGTTTATTTCAGTTCACAGGGTGAATGGACCAATCACTGCTGGGCAATGGAAGAAGAACATCACTGACGTACTGTGTAAGAAATTCCATTCACTGCTTCAAGCATTCCTTTAATTATACTCCAAAGCTATAATGCATGAAGTCAATCTAAATATCTAAACATAATCTGTAACAAATAAACAGTAAATACAGACATATAATAGCTTGTAAAAGGCTGATACAAAGACAAAGAAAGAATTACAAAAATAAACCATAAATAGAGGAAAACTGATCCAGACAAGGATAAGCGCTGAGCAGTGCAGCTAAACAATATATTTTATAAACAGATTTTATAACTAGGAACCTGTTCTGCACCATTAGAGCTTGGCAAAAAAGAAACTGCTACCATTTCTTCCCTTTTAATTTAAAAACACAGTCATTCCAGATTATTTTCATGATGGCTTTCATGAAGGCTGAAAGAGGAACAGTGTATCCTGAGGGTATTTTGGAATGTGCCCATGCACAAAGCAGTTACATGTAATCAGAGTGCAACTGTACTGAAATATAACTGTGTTAGCCACAAGCTAGTCAGTTTAGCTGTGGGTTTAATACAGTGCTGAGATAAAATATTCCATTAGGGTGGTCTATTTGTGACACGACTGAGACATGTTAGTCTGGCAGGCGTGTGACAGGAGTGGCAACTTCCCTTCTAAATGAGATTTCTTCTCTTTTTAGTCTGTAACCACATCAATGGCTTAACTGAAAAAGAGGAAGAAATCTGGCTTAATATATAACTACTCTGTGAGAAAACCAGCATGGAATTTTTACTGTCAGCTGTTTTCACATAGGCATGTAGAGCAAAATTAAATGGAAAGAAGAAGAGAATTAAGAGAAATCTCATGCTCTCATCATTTAGGCCCTGTTTATACTTAACCCCTTAAAATCCCAGGCTTACTGCAGGGACTTCAATGCAAACTGGTTGAGCCATTCATAGGTTTTAGAACTGTTTAATAAAAGTTTGCATGTGCCAAACTTCACCCACCCAACTTGGTAGAACTGTGTAGTTGGAGGAGACCTAGCTGACGGAGAGTTAGCAAAGACTAAATTGGGGTGAAAATTAGTTAAGAATTAAAACTAAGTATGTTTGTGATCATAACCGTTGTGGTTATGATCTAGCTGTCCTGATCCTGAGGTAGTCCAGCACTCATAATAATGTGTAGGTAAAGACAATGCGGGCAGCTTGGCTACATTCACACATGATCTTGACCCAAAACTCAAAAAAATCAATACTGTTTCAACCTCTCGTCTAAGAGATTATTTTATGTGTTTGAATGTGTATTAAAATGTAGGCTTACAGACTTAAAATGTGAAAAGCCATCTGCCACCTGTGAATTATAGTACCTAGTTCTCCCTCCATTTTTGGCACCCATTTTAACCTGTTTTTTTTCTACAGTGCTTCAGTTGTGGCTACTAAGCAGACATGCACAAAAAAACTCTTGTAACTGTAACTTACAATGCCTGAAGCAATTTGCACTGCACTCTGAAAAATGTTTTATAAAGCATTAAACACTGCATAGCCTGTATAGGCTCTGCTTGCTCTGCACAGCACCACACCAGCCCCATTTACACTTTTAAATACTGCACAAATAAATTACATCTGTATCAATATCTGGATTCTGAAGCGGCACTTGAAAGACGCAAGTGTAAACGCGCTGTGTCTTGATTGGACGATAACCTGATCATCATGATGATTGGATGTTCACTGCCAAGGATAAACAGGGCCTTAGAGCCTATCTACACTTCACCACGTAGCGCATCTTGGTGATCGGATAACTATCTGACTATGTAGATGCAACCAAGGAGCATTAGAGACAGATTCTTATCTGACTGCTCAAACACTTTAGGAGATGCTTTCAATTACTGCACATTAAAATGGAATTCAGTTAAAATTATTTGTTTGCATTTAAATGAATTAAGAAATCCCATAAATTCTAACTAGTGCTAACTGAATTTGTTAGAATTAGATTTATACACGTAAAATGTCATCACTTTTAATAATATTTTAATGTGTTTAACTTAATTTTTGATATCAAGAAATTGTGGATTAAAAAGTTAAATGCCTAACACACAGCATAACCCACATGTGCCAAAGCTTCAAGGTCAGCCACAGACTGCATCACCAGTCACTCTTTAGATGTGCCTTTTATAATTTATATTTTATATTAAATTTACTATGTGTATGTATTAAATACCTACTGTGACTGGACTGGTACAAACAGTCTGTCTCTGCCACACACTGCTGTATCAATGACTGGATCTGTGCCAGACTTGGAATCTTAATTTAGTGCATATTTACATTTGAAAATAGACTGAGAATTTTACTTTAGCCAATATGAGTGCATACTACTTAAAAACCAAATGCTACTAAGCAAATTTTACCCTGCCTGCCAGTTACATCCTAATGTCTGTATCTCATCCAAGCTGGGAGGCATGTAAATTTGGCTGGGCGGGCCACTCTGCCTATTTTATGGTAGGGACATTTTTATGTCTGGGCATTATCCAGATATGAGACGTATTAAATGAGAAATGCACTATGGCTCTTTCTAACACCAGACAATAAACAGACTGCACAGAATTTAAAAACAGGCCTCACCTTAGCGCTCGATCTAAGGACAACCCCGTGAAGTCAAAGAAGCTCAGATACTCTGATGCCACCATCTGACTGAATTCATTACTGTAACACAGAAGGAGAATTCATTGTTTTCTTCTTGTCTAGCAGACGCTCACATACCAGATTCAGACATTCACACACTTACTTCTTCCCCAGATGTCGTGCCACGTCACACCGCTTGAAGCCCTCCAGGTAGAACAACCGCTTAGCCAGCCGCTTGGCAGCATCTGCGTCAGCACGGCACCCGTTCGCAAGTGTATCGGTGCTGCCCCTCTCCAGCGTCTCCAGGCTGCCCAGCTCAGAGTCTGAGTCACACAGTCCATCTGTGAGATTGGCATCACTACAGCAAGAAACACAAGACAAAATAACATTAACACATTAGACCATCTTGAAGTATGCTTCAAGTTTCATCAATAAAACTAACATAGGTTAACCATTAAGTCAAGAGCCATTACTTTCATTCTGCCAAATTATTCAAATATCAACACATAGTCACATATTTAGTTACACAAGGAGTTGCATAGTTACATTTACATTAGATTTACACTTTGTATCGACAACGTCAAGACTGTACTTCTGACATTTTTATTCAACATATGTTTTGATGTCAAGCATTGAATGTTTTTCTTTCCACAAAACATAACTGTACACACAAAAATAACTCTTCAACAAATTCTAAACACAACCAGAAGGAGAAAGTTTGTAAATGAAATGTAGTTATGTCGTAACTGAAGTTTGGGGGGAGGAACATGCCCGAAACCCCTCCTTCTTCCAATCGAACACTCTATAAATTCACATCCTCAACCTTCCATTCCTTTGATGAAGTGTTGGCAATTCCCACCACCACCCCATCTCCTCCCTGTTCCTCAGTCCTATGTCAGTCCTACTACAGCTATGGGGGGGGGGTCTGCCCTTCTAACTACAGGCAGAAGCTGCCCAGAACTCCAGCCCAAGTTCTCAGAGTTCTCCCCTTTCACTCAATCAATTTTTCCTCACACTACCACCACCATGTTGAAGGCATGGTCTGAACTCACAAACTTTAAGTTGGCTTGACAAAGCCGTTGCTATGAAATGTCTGATTGTTGCTATGATATCCATGGGTTTTTAAGATGCGAAGCCATTGCTGTAATATCCCAGGTAGTTGCTAATGTGTGTGTATAAGTGTGCTTGTACGTATGTGAGTCTGTATGTAACGTCTATGAGGGGCAGTGTCAGTGATGTCCTTTGACATTATTTATGGCAGTTAGATTTTAACTTCCTCAACTTTGCACCAGTCACTTGCAATGGGAAAAAAATAGTGCTTGAGCATACAAAACCTGTACATATGACCGGTCCCAAAAGCACAAGCATACTGTTCCCATATATGTCCCATTATCTTGTGATGGTTTGCGGTATTAGCTTGAAAATTGTGACATGTGAAAATGGTACGAAAAAGTGTAGAATAATAAAACAAAGGACAGTAAGTTGGCTGTCAAGTTAACTTAACAGAACATCTCTTCTTCTACTTATTACCGCAGCACTGATTGAAAAATTAGAATTTGCGCTTATGACAGATTGTCTCTAGATGTTTCAATGAGATACAAATGAGAAGTAATTAATATCAAATTGCATCATTTGCATAAAACCACATTAACTGTAACAATGTTTGGACTGCTTTGAGCCTTAGAAATGTACTTCTGGATGGGGGGGGGGGCATTCTGGGTCCAATTCTTTTCTCCTATCTAAGAAATGGGACATCCAATTAATTAAGCTTTTGATGACCATGATTACTTGAATGAGGTAGATGGTGGTGTAATGGTGTGTTCTTTAAAATGAATGAACAGTTTTGGTGCAGTGCAGCATGCAGTGTTCTCTACACTGATAGAAATGTGAAGAAACACCATGACCTCTACACTGGGTGATAGACACACAGCTTTTGGTTAATTCATGACAATCTAAATAATTCATGAATTTATTCAGCATTATTGTCTGCTCCCAAGCGAAAGAGTAATTAAAATGTGTAGCATGATGGAATAATTGGCTAAGTATCAAGTTATTTGTGCATGCTTGTCATGCCAGTGTGTGAAACTCAAAACCGAATCACAAATGCAAGTTTTGTCAGCAGTGCCATGACTGGTACACAGGAGAAACAGAAAAGCGTCCCATTATGCTCTAACACAACTGTCTGGCCCACCCAAGAAAAGACCTAACACGCACTTGGGGGCCGCTCACTCACTGGTCAGCATTTTCACCTTTCTATGCGTCTGTGGCCTGCCGAATAAATTATAGAAGGCATTCTCTGTGGATGAGTCAAATTTTTTGCATAATTTAATTGCTGCAATAGCATTAGGCCCAAACTCGATAAGGCGCGGTAATGTGTCGGTTGCCATGGTGCCAGCGGAACCCGACATTCTGAGAGAGAAACGCAATTTACGTCCCTCTTGAGCAGATGGCCTCTTCAGCAATATTACCCACCATCCTCCACACAACCCCCCAGAAAGTATAAAACACCCACCAGCTACATCATACCACTGGGAAGTCCTATTCAATTTGCCAAACCCGTTATTTGAACTGTCCATTTCAGTTAATCGAATGTCCAACCAATGATTAAATAATTGTAATTCTATTCTATTTTTTGCGGTTAATAAATAAGCTTTATTTTTGTGATAATTACAGATGGCACACTGCCACTTTTCCCACACCGATACCTAGTAGTGTGCGGTCTGAAATATGTTTTATTGTGCAAAATAGTAAATACATAACTGAACAATACTATGTCAATCTTGCTTTCTGACACTACCAACAAAAATAGTGCTTTATGTTTCTTAATGTCTTAATTTCTACAAGGCTCAAGTTGAATTTTCTACTCCACCTTAAATGGAGCAGCATTTATATTCTGTCACTTATACATGCAACTGAATGTAACTGCTGCACCATTTAGGCAGAAGGGGAATTGTAAATAAAAAGCTAACTTTCATTTTTCTCCTACGAGCATATCACACACTTGTGCCACCGATTGTCAGATACTGCTTGAATTTGGAAAAAATTAGTCATTCACGCTTCAGCATCAGCTGGACCACGGCTTGTTTTGTGCACAAGGCTCAGAGTCCGCAGCCTCGTCTGATCCAGCTGACCGAGTCAGCTCTCTTCAGTCTCTGCTTTCTTGTCCATGTTAGGCTAAAGCTAACCCCAAAAGACCGGCTATTCCGTTATGTCTGCTGCAGACTACTTCAGATGCAATGGACCAGACAGCGGGAGGTGATCAAGAGACGCTGCGTTTCTTTATTATCTGAATCGTGACTGAAAGCATGACTCAGCCACCACACTAAACGGGATAATCTGCACTTAATTGTGGCATACCAATATAATGGTTATGACAAAACCCATACCTGAGGAAGAATTTCAACCAGTATAACGGATGAAGCGGTATACACCCATTACTACCTTTAATCCAGCATTTTCTGCTGATATCGCCCCAATACCGACAACATCAATGCACATATACTATCTCTATTGATTTTAGTAGCCTAGCTAAAATCATTAAAATTCACAATTCAGTTTAACTGCTAATGAATTATGCATACCATATAACTGCCTTTGTCTTCTCCTTAATCGAATAACTACAAAATAGTGGCTAACAGTACAGTTATTTTCTTGAAATTACCCAGACTACTTTGAACAACTGTCCAGTGAACAAGAGAAACATAAGTGACAGAGAATCACGAGAACTGTGAATCAGACAGGCAGACTGTCGACTGTAGTACCAGTGAAGTCTGACAACATGGCAAAAAAGACATAATTAAAACAGAGAAGAAGCAGCTATTTATATATAACCAACAACAGAATGGATTTTGGGATTATCATTTTGTTTGCAAACTATCACTAGATTTCATGGAGAATAATAAGTGAATGGCAGTCATTAGAGCACCAGAGATGAAGGGAATTTAAAGGCAAACAGGACACACTCATTAACTCAGACAATGAAAATCAGAGTCAAATATTGATGTACACAAAGCCCAAACATGTGCGTAAATCATCACAGAAAACAGATTAGCTAGCTTATCAAGATTGTGATTATTTGTGTGAAAAAGAAACTTCTGATTTGTTTTTGCTTGCAAATTGATCTGGCTCACCCACTTCAGAGTCATTCAGAACGATTTGTTGATGAATCGCCTGTTACTAGTTCACTACGAATTCGGATTCATGGACTGTCTGACTGTCTCAGATCAACCATGTTTAATATAATCAAAAGTTTAAGGTCTTGGCTCATGCAAACAGTGATGTGCCAGGGGCACGCGTGAAAGGGAGCGGGCGAGCGTTTGTGCACAGCGTGATAAACAGAGAGAAGGAAAGTGCAAGAGAGAAAATGCATACGTGGTGCCTGAAATCTCTGTAGGCAAATTTGCTCCGCTTTGAAACAATAATCATATTAACTTAAAAATGTAAACTGGCTGTTTCAATATTTCAGGTTCACTGAGCGTAACAGTGATGTAAGGAAATGTGCAGAGGACTTTTAAAAATGGCATTATTGAAGAAGCATCAATGTGGTTTTTTCCCTTTGCTTTTTTGGTTTGTTTTTTATGGTTCAGTTCATAACACCCAATCAACAATGCTGAATCGCTGCATGTTTTGTTGATGTGTAAATCTTTGTCAAATAAAAAAGTAACTGCACATTTTACAGACTATACAGTTACAATATCTGCCAGAATATACAATTCTACAGTGAACTGGGATGAGCCCCAGATCTTTACATGCCCAGCCAAAGTATCCTCCCATTAGCACCACTACAGATTGTAGAAGGAATTTCTCGATTTCTCTGAAAAAAAGGTTTCTCAAAAATCTAGCTGCAGTCTTGCAAATAGTGACCCTGCAAGATCCCCAGTCTTTGCAAAATCATAGTCTGTGACTAAAACTGTGACATTGTGTTTAGATGTGAGAGGGTGTCAGACTTTAGTTTTTAAAAAGTCTTCTCAAAAGATCTTCTAGTGTATGGTTAGCATTAGCCTAGCTTTGATCTGAACCCAAAATAACATGTTTAGCTCAGCTCGCAATACGGTCCAATTCAGTATATCAATGAGGTATAAAATATCATATATATGGGTACTAATATCACACTGAGTTCATTTGGGACCAATCATATCCTCTTCCTGTGGCTTAAAACTCCAAATGTGATTCACCAAATCACTCTGAACATGAGTCACTCACACATTCAGCCTGCAGTTATAACAACTGAACGACTGGATCTTTTCAGCCAACACCTCAGACTAGCACATGCATATCAAAACAGCTGATCCAGTGATATTTGTGTAATATCCCTGAGTGACAGACTGGAAAAACCATCGGAAGGCAATGAATCAGTGT